GCTTGGGATCAAACTCTAGTATTGCAGAAAACAGCCTGAGGGAAACAAAACAAGACAGGTATAATCAACAATTATACGAGGCTGAGGCAAGATTACAAACTCAAGACAAGTATGAGGTACAAGATGAGTTCAATCCCAGCACTCTGGAGGCTGAAGTAGGATTGCCACTAGTTAGAGGCCAGTGTGGGTTACATGAGTTCAAGGTCAGTCTAAACTACACAGCAAGACCTCGTTTCAGAAACAAAAGTGACAGAAAGAGAAATGGCTAGGGCTGGGATTCTGCCCTCAACTTTCAAGTTTTTTCCCCCCCTAAATGCTAGAAAAGCAAAACCAGGGTATGCCAGGCAAGCACTGTACCACTGAGCTACACCCCCACCCAACACCAAACTGTAAGTTTTAGTTTTTACAGTGACACATTATACATACTCAAAACTTCAAGGTTTTTCTTTTTGGTTGTGCTGTGCTGGGGATCCCATGGCCTCCAGGATGCTGCAGGTACTCTACCACTGAGCTACCCTTCCAGGCTTTAGTTTCCTTTTAATGGCCACAGCAGTGTGGAGGTAGATAGGCTGGGTCATAAGAAATGGCTGAACTGCAGAGCCCTGTAAACAGGAGGCACTCAACAAATGCTCATGAGGGCAGAAGCTAAGCCTGTAGCTTATTTTGTGGACTGTCCCTAAAAATGCCAGAGCAGAGCTGGTGGAGGCCAAAACCTGGGCCTGAGATTCTGGCCTTCAGCTCCATGGCAGTGCCAGTCTCACCCTTGCCCACTAGAAAATGCCTGCAGGTCCCTAAGTGGGGGGAAGGGCAGGCTGCTTGTCTGTGCATAGCATCTCACTGGCACACACTAACTCAACTGTTGAATGAATGGCCACTGAAGCTGTCCCTGCCACCACCTGGCAGGGAGAGGGGAGCAGAGGGTATTTCTCTTTGTCCCAGTCCCTCCAGGAGCCTACAGGCCCCACAGGCTGTCTCTACAGCCTCAGGCCCCTAAGTGCTTTGTCATGCTGCTGAATGGAGGATATATCTACCCAGGTCCCAAGCTAGTACCCACAGGGAGTATAGCGGACAGCCAGCTGACTGACCCATGACACACACATACCCTGCCCCTTTCTTTAGGAGAAAGGGACCCAGGCATTTCTAGACTTTTTTTTCAACTGCTACTGACTTTCTTCAACTACTCTAGGTCAATCCTCAGGAAATCTGGCCTGGTCCCACCACTCAGCAGCTGACTAGAGAAGGTTGACCATCTCTTGGCCTCAGCTTCCCAATCTATACAAAAAGGAAGGTTGCCGACAGGGTTAAATGAGTTAATTGGGTAAAGTGCTTGGCGCAGAGCCTGGCACAAAAAATTTTTTCCAAACAATAGTGGTTGCTATTGTTATTATTATTAGCATCTTGGTGATTCCGGAAGGAAGGCAGCACTGGGCACTGGGCCAAAGGAGTTGGGGGCCTTTCCAGGATGCCTCAGGGACCAGCTGCCACCCACACCCCCATCCGCAGTTGAGCAGCTTCTACTTTAGTCAGGGGCCCTGTCTGGCCCCTCCCACTTGTTTCAAGCCTGCTGCTGAGACCCTATCCTGCCTAGCCAGCCCCTGCATGCTTGCCTGCCATACCCCACCTTCACCCACAGGCTGCACCAGTAAAACTGGTCCCCACACCCTGTCCTGCAGCCCACATATTCAAGCTCCAGGTCTCCAGTACCCTCGCCCACTGTAATTTGGCAGATTCTTCTGGGGCCCCAGTCTCAACTGGGATGGAGCTTCTTGCAGCTCTGGGATCAGAAAGGTCTTTATCCAGGAATTTTGGGGGGACCTTTCTGTGTCATAGCACTGGGTCCTTCTCCCCAGCTCCCATAGGGCCAGCCCACCCAGGCCTTCCCTCAGAGGCTCAGGGGTCTGCCTGCCTGATTAATGAGGCTCCATGGCAACCAGGGGCTTGGAGGGTGGCAGATGGAAGGACAGGCAGAGGGGATCAGCAGCTGGCCCAGCGCCCCGCCCCTGCAGAGAAGGCCTCCCAGCTAAGAGGCCTCTCCCCAGAGGCCTGGAGAGCCAGGCCTGCACCTGGCAGCCCAGCATCAAGGCAGGAAGGAGTGTCTCTTCCATGGCTCTCCAACGGTCACGAACCCCGTCCCCTCACTGCCCAGACACGAGTTCGAATCCCAGCCCTGCCACCTGTAGCTGTCAGACCTGGGACAAGCCACTTCCCTCTCTGGGGCTCACTCAGTTCCCAGAATGAGTCAGACAGGAACAGTGACAACACCGAACTCACAGCAGGCTTGTGAGTTTAGCTGGCCTGAAGTCTGCCAAAAGCATGACCTGTAGTAAGCGCCAGCTGAACATACGTGGGCCATTACTATCAGCGTCCAATGCTCGACTGGCTGCAGTAAAAAACCAAGGCCCCGAACACAGGAGCTGAGACTGGCCCGGGGTCACCCTGCACCCCGGGGCGGGACTATGAGGCCCAACCCAGGCCCGGCGCCTTAGCCCTTCCCCCGCCCCTCGCGGCCAGGCACCGCGCGCTCCCGCGTTCGCGGCGTGAGGTGGCGCCCCGGGCCCCTGGGGTCCGTACCGGCGGACGGCCGAGAGCCGGGC